GAAGAAGGATCCCTCAACTAACAACCGGTCAGCGCAGAGGGGCACTCCAGTCAGCACCCAAGGCAAGACCCGTTCCTCAGCATCGGAAGCAAGCTGCCAGTTGACGGCGACCTTGTCGAGCGCATCGGCCGTAAATCGCACCAGCAGCCAGGGCAAGATCACCGTGACTCCACTCCTCGACGGCCGACCCTGTACAATGGAGGTGGACTCAGGATCGTCCGTGACGGTGATTTCTGCCGCGTCCTGGCGCCAGTTGTTCCCGAACCGAAGCCGGCGGCGGCTCCAGCCTGCGGGAACCAGAGTGTCCGACTTCCAGGGCAACCGAATTCCCTTGGCCGGACGGGACTCTGTTACTGTTGAGTATAAGGGGAAATGTGTTAAACTGTCATTCCTGATTGCAGAGGGAGACCGGGTTAACCTGCTAGGGTTAGATTGGTTTGAGCCATTGGGCATTGGTATTTCTGGGATTAACAGGATGTCTGAAAATAAATGGGGCATGCTGTACGACCTGTTCCCTGATGTATTTGCCGAAGGGTTGGGGAGGTACAAGGGCCCCCCGGTTGCGTTTGACTTAGATCCGTCAGTCAAACCTATTAGGTTGAAGTATCGGAAAGTACCTGTGTCTCTCAAACATAAGGTGGAAAAAGAGATTGACAAACTAGTTGAGCAAGGGGTTTTAGAGCCAGTACCATACAGCAAATGGGAGACCCCGATCGTAACCCCTGTCAAATCAGATGGGTCCATACGACTATGCGCCGATTACAAATGTACGATTAACAAGGCGCTGCAGCAACATTCGTACCCGGTCCCGGTAATAAGCCACATTTTGGCTTCCCTGGGGGGTGGCAAGATTTTCGCCAAATTTGACCTGGCCCAGGCATACCAGCAGTTGCCTGTCACCCCGGAGGCTGCCGAGGCCCAAACAATTGTAACCCACCAAGGGGCTTTTAAAGTGAACAGGCTGCAATTCGGGGTCAACGTAGCACCTGGGATTTTTCAGGGCCTCATGGAACGTCTACTAAGGGGGGTACCTGGCACAGTGCCCTATTTTGACGACGTGCTGATTGCGGGCGGGTCTGAACAGGAACTACTGGACCGGGTTAAAGAGGTCCTCAGGCGTTTTCAAAATGCCGGTCTCAGAGTTAAGCGCTCAAAATGCACGCTCGGGGTGGAAAGTGTGGACTTCCTGGGGTTTCGCATTGACGCAGAGGGAGTCCACCCCACGGATGAGAAGGTATCTGCAATCCAAAACGCCCCCAGGCCGGTGAGTAAGAAGGAGCTCCAATCCTTTTTAGGACTCCTGAATTTTTATCATGCGTTTTTACCGCATAAGGCATCAGTGGCGGCCCCTTTGCACGCGCTTTTGCACAAGGAGGCAAAATGGAAGTGGGGGCAGGCCGAGGAAAAGGCTTTTGTGGGAGTCAAGGAGCTGCTGACATCTAATGCCGTACTCACGCATTATGATGAACACAAGCTCCTGGTGTTAGCTGCTGACGCTTCACCTTTTGGAGTAGGCGCAGTTTTAAGCCATCTGATGCCTGATGGGAGCGAAGCGCCTATCGCTTTTTATTCTAGATCACTATCTGCGGCAGAGCGGAACTATGCCCAGATAGACAAGGAGGGTCTGGCGTTGGTAGCGGCTGTCAAAAAGTTCCATGATTTTATTTTTGGCAGACGATTTTTGCTGGTCACTGACCACAAGCCGCTACTGGGGATTTTTGCGCCCGATAAGCAATTGCCAAACATCATGTCCCCACGCATGCTTAGATGGGCGATATTTTTGCAGGCTTATGATTTTGACTTAGAGCACCGGCCTGGGAAAGCGATTGGGCATGCGGATGCCCTCAGCCGGTGCCCGGTGCCGGACATTGGCGCAGACCCTGCCCCCGCCTGTGAGGTCTTGGCAATTGAGGAGCTTCCTCGACCCCCGGTATCATCCAGGGACATTGCAGCACACACGGCCAAGGATAGCGTGCTGTCCCGAGTATTAAACTGGGTTTGGAGGGGGTGGCCGGTTGGAAGCGTTGAACCGGAGTTCGGCCCTTACAAAAGCCGTCAAAATGAACTATCCATTTCTAAGGGCTGTGTATTATGGGGGAACAGGGTGGTGGTTCCTGACAAACTCAGGACGAGAGTGTTAGAGTCGCTGCACGAGGGTCACCCCGGTATGGTACACACCAAAGCGTTGGCCAGAGGGTATGTCTGGTGGCCGGGGCTGGACAAAGAGATCGAAGAATGGGTACGAGGGTGTCCCAAATGCCAGCAAGTCAGACCCGATCCCCCACAAGCTACACCCCAAGGCTGGGAGTCATCTGGTAAACCCTGGGCCAGATTGCATATAGATTTTGCTGGCCCTCTCCAAGGGCAAATGTTCCTAATTGTGGTGGACGCTATGTCCAAATGGCTGGAGGTCGTGCATATGAAATCGACCACATCACTTGCTGTGATCCATGCGCTCCGCCGACTTTTTGCCACCCACGGGTTGCCTGACGTCATCGTCAGTGACAACGGGCCTCAATTTGTGTCTGAGGAATTTAGGCTCTTCCTCACGAGTAATGGCATACGCCAAATGACTTCGGCCCCTTTCCATCCGGCATCTAATGGCCAAGCCGAACGGATGGTCAGGACGGCCAAAGAGGCCCTGGGTAAAATGGACGAAGGGGACTGGAGCCAGAGGCTGGGCTCCTTTCTTTTGCTGCAGCACACCACCCCCTGTAGTGCTACAGGCCGTAGTCCGGCCGAATTGTTAATGGGGCGGAGACTCACGACCCGTTTGAACCGAATGCACCCAGACCTCACTGAAGAGCAATCCGAGCGTACCACGGCGCAACCGAAGGTGCGCATGTTTGAAAAAGGGGACAAGGTTTTCGCACGAAATTATGCAAACGGGCACTTATGGCTTCCTGGGGTTATATCCGACTCTGTGGGTACTCGAATGTATGTGGTGCAGTTAGCTGACGGTCGAATATGGCGGCGCCACATAGATCAGTTAAGGAGACGTTGGGCTAGGGACAGCGCTGACTCTCCGACGGCTGAATCCCCTGATGTCGAGTGGACACCCCCAGAGCAGGCGGTGAGTACCGAAAGGCCCGGTACTGTCCCCGAGTCAGGGCAGAACCCTGTGTGCGGGGCTGAAATCCCAGTCGAGTCTGTGCCTGATCCAGGCTGTAGTGAACCCCACTCTGACCCACAACCTTGTCTGCCCATGGAGCCTGCACCGCTCCGCAGGTCCCAGCGTTCGCGGCAAATGCCGACTTATCTGAAGGACTATGAGTGTAAATACTGTTGGAATAACTGATGTACAAAGGTTGATTGCATGTTTGTAAATAATAAAACAATTGGGATGATGGCTTAACTTAGGGGGGAGGAATTGTAATGTATTGAAATGATTACATGAATCACCTCATAGGACTCCCATGTTAAGCTTCGAGCCAGACCAGGGCTCCTCTGAGCGAACTTCCTATTGGTCGCTTCGTAACAGCGACCAATCAGAACGATACCATTCCCTAGGAGGGAAAGACTCCCATTGGTCTTTATTCTAGCAATCTCATAGAGCGGTGGACTCTGATCTGGAGATTCCCCACTCTTCCACATGAAGCCTGTCGGGTGACTTTTGGGCCAGTCCCAGTCCTCTCAGAACTCTCTCAGCCCCACCTACCTCATAAGATCAATGTTGTGGGGAGATGAAGGGAAGGTGATTGTAAGCTGCTCTGAGACTCCTGAGGCGGGTAGAGAAAAGCAGGGTATAAAAACCAACTCTTCTCCTTCTTTAGACAGCTAAGTAGTGAGGTTTGCCAGCTCTGGAGTGGGAGATACCTGGAGATTTGAGGGGAGGGCTGTGGGGGCAGGGTTTGGATAGGGGAGGGACCTCTGCAGGGTATAATCCCATACAGTCAACCCTCCAAAGCAGCTATTTCCTCCATGGGAGCTGAACTCTGTCATCTGGAGATCAGTTATACTAGTGGGAGATCTTTAGGTGCCACCTGGAGACTGGCAACCCTATGAGCTGGAGCTGATTGGAGCTTGGGTAGGAATCCTGGGTACACAGCCTTGCGTTCCATGTGAGGAAGAGGGGATACAAGTTAAATCAAGTAATCAATCTCACCCTGAGATCCTAAAGGCCAAATCATCATCCGGTGAAAGCACCAGCCCTTTCAATGCAAGTGACTTGCCAGTCTGGAGTGATTTCACCTATGGTCATAATGCTAATAACTTGTTAGGGAGGGACCAATTACCACCCAAAGGATTAAAGTCCTGGAAAAGCATATCACACAAATGAGTTATTTTGGAATAAACAGCAATGGCTGCAGCTTCATAGGCACCCTTTTGTTTAAATCAGACTAAACCCTGAAGTAAACCACATATTTAATTTACGCCATCCCTGTTTGTGGTTTGGTTTCTCCAGTGGAAGCTGTAAGCCAGGAAATCCTTTCACCGTGAACCCGTGGGTGACTTATACACAAGTACAGCCCCTAGCTGCAATATGAGGATTACAATAATGGCCCACCTTAAAAAGCTGTTGTAAGGATACTAACACAATGCATGTGGAGTGTTTTGAACATACAAAAAGCATTTGTAAATATTATTGTATGTAGGTTTGTTATGTGGAACTCAAGGAAATTCTTTATTCTGAAAATATATTTTACTCCCCTTCTCCATACAAGTAGTAATGCTTTAATAAAATTCATCCAAGCATCTTTGATGGAAAGGGACAGTGGAATATTGTTTCTTAGCTTAGAAAGAAAAAAGAAAAATTCAAGTTGTGTCCGGTTTAATCACACCAGTCAAAGAAAGTGAGCAAAAGGGTTTTTAAAAAAATAATAATAATAAAGCCACTAAACATTGATTTAAATCCTAGAAATCACACTCTTGTTAAATCCACACCTACAAAATAAAACATAGATGAACTTTCAGGCAGAATGAGAAATTCAGAAATCCGTGCATTCAAGAAGGGTGAAAAAGATTTCCAGCTGCATAGAAACAAGTTGCCAGCCACTTACCGTTTTGCTGTCCTGAAGCGTACAGGCTGATCTCCAAGGAGTCAGGGGACTGAGATTTAACAGTTCATCTGTTTGTTCTTGGTCATTCTCCTGGAATATAAACACTATTTTTACCCTCCACTAGCCAATCACTACTTTCCCTGTGTGATGTCAGCAAGTGGACTCTTACCAGAAAATCCCCAAACTTCAACATTTTTTTTTCTAGTCCCAGATTTTGTTTCTAAACATAATGTGCCATTTTAGTGCCCGGAGTTTTGCATCGTTCCCCTTAATTGAAGGGTTGAGCCAGAGATGAATGGGTTTGGAGGCTGGGATATATAATAATGGTCTAGATTTAAATTAAAACTAAATATTGGGAACATTAGTTGGGGTAGAAGGTTTTTTTTTGTAAAGACTTTTTCTTTCTGGGGAGAGGCAGAACGTCCAAAAGGAATTTCTCACTTTTCTTTTGCAGAGCTGTGGACAAACAAATGAATTTGCAGAGGTTTAATGTGTTTGAGAATGGGTTAGAGTGTGAACTCTGGTGTCAAAAAGGTCATTTCACACATTTTTCTATGGGGAAATAGTGACATTCATGCAGGGAAATGGTACACACTGATGTGTAAAACTCAAGCAGATGTCTATTTTTATAAAGGGGGGGGTCCAAAGTGGGCCCATAATTAGATTTCCCATATATGTTTTAAATATAATAGCAGCTATTAGAGTACAGAGGGGAGGCATTTCGATCATAGCCCTGGAACTGGAGGTGGAACAGTAATCCTTTTTCCCCCTCAAACTGTTTTCCTTTATAAATTACTAGACCTGCTATTTGCTCCACAGGAAAAATACACAGATACCATATGGTTATTTAATGTCCCCTTCCCATGGGGCAAAAACAGGTCCAGAGAGGGCGATTTAAATCAGGAAAACAATTCAGGGGATGGAAATATGGAGGCCTTGACAGGAATAGGTGAAACCCCTGAATATTTTCAGCAATCTTGTAAAAACTTTTTTCTCCATTTCATCATAGTTCCTTGAGTCTATTTCTTGAACGGTTATCTCTGCAGGCACCTCCGGATTTCACTTTCAGTGTCATTTGGTGCAAACTCTAGAATTTATCGATGCTGCCCATTGCATGAAATATTTCTTCAGCTGCTCCAGACACCCAGCGTGACATTTGAAGCTAATGAGAGGGAGACAGACGGCAACCTCTGTTAATGGTTTTCTGTTTATCTCAGGTATGGATTTATGGAATCCCCATAATGAATTTTGCTACATTTGTTGGGGAATCGTTTTGTTTGTGTTGTTTCTCTCAGATGGCTCTCTTACCAAGAGCTTCCAAACTGGCCTCTAAATTCTGTTTTCAGCAAACTTTAACCACCGAAAACAAAGCAAATGGGCATTTTGAGCAGAAAATACAATAATAATGAGGAACGTTAAGGAGATGAGTTCAGCCCAGCATATAATGTAAGGACAAATCAGAGGACAGATAAACATGCTGAATTTTGGCTGGGACAGCAATGTTAGCAACCTAATCTTGGAGACCTACACTTTACCACAAGTGATGTGGACATTGGTTTTATGGTTCCTTTGAAGGGTTCCACTGTCTGGGTGCATCTAGCAGAATGCTAGGTTTGGAACTCCATGCTGATTCAGGGGGGGAAATGGCCACCTACAGAACATTTAGGACAGCCTCTAATGATCTTTATGTTCCTAGGTGGTCTAACACTTGGCTGTACAACTAGTGAGAAGCAGTTGGCTGGTTTTAGGATTTAGGATTGTTGCTAAATTGGAAATTTCTTGGAAAGTGTTTGTGTCTACCAAATTAGAAAGCCCATGCATAAAAGAATATTGTAAAAATCATCTTGATGCAAAGGAAGAACAGAATTGCAAACCTGGAATAGATTCTGTAACGCGGCCTAGAAATTCTGTAAAATCTGGATTGGAAGTCCAGCTCCTGACATAGTAATTCTGCAACAGAACCAAAAAGTTCTGCCTTTTTGGTGGTCAAAATCAAGTCACTTCTGACTTATGGCAACCCTATGAACTAATGACCTCCAGAATGTCCCATCATTGAAAGCCTTGCTGAGGTTTTTGCATACTGGAGGCTTCCTTGGTTGAATCAATCCTTCTCATGTTGGTCTATCTCATTTCCTACTGCCTTCAACTATTCCTAGCATTATTGTCTTTTCCAGTCAATCTTGTCTCCTCATGATGTGACCAAAGTACAATAGCCTTTGTTTAATCATTTTTGCTTCTTGGGAGAATTCAGGTTTGATTTAATCTAGAACCCACTTATTTGTCTTTTTGGCCACCCATGGTATCTGTAAAACTCTCCTGCAACAACTCTAGTCTTGTCTCTCTATATAATAATTCTGTTTTAAAGTGGCAACATTCCATTTGCTCCTATCGGCTGTGCAATGCCCTCCCTCAGCCATTGGCCCATCAGCTGCCACTCAAGAGTACTCGCGGGCCATTGGCAGGGTGCTGGGTCTGCTCCTCTTCCCCACCCACTCACCCTTCAGCCACTCTGCCTGTCAGAATTACTCGCAAACAGCTTTCTCTCTTGATGAAGACGCTTCTCCTGCTTGCCTCCTGTGTGGGAGTAACTCTTCCCTCAGTGACTGTTGGTAGGTGTAACAAAATGGCAGTTACCTGTGTTTGTAAGATGGCTGCTGTCTGCGGTTGTTTGTTTAAAATATTCCGCCATAAGGTTTAATTGAGCTGTAGTTCCAGAGAGGGGCCTGTAGGGGTATCACTCACTGGGTTGAATGGGGCTTCCTCATATGCTGGACTACAGTTCCCAGCTGCCCAAAGGCCAAAAAGTGCGGGAAAAGAGGGACTGTCCCAAGGGGTAGGGTAGCATCAATATAGACTGCAGCCTATATAGGGAGGAGGCAGTCTTCATCCTACAGGAGGTTAGGAAAGGCTCCTGCTGCCTGTGCTGACCCTAGGCTGTCCAGGCCACAAGCCACAGACATGGGGGAACCCTGCGAGGCAGCAGAAATTCAGCCACTCCACAGTCAGGTGGACTGGGGAAGGGAAAGTGGATAGTGTTTAACCCCTGTTGATTTATGTCCTGTTGGTTCATAGTGTGTGCTTACTCCTACAGCTGTGCCTTATTCATTTAGTGTGTGTGTGTACTCCAAAACTCTGTAAATACTTAGATAAATTCTTTTATTTGGGCTAATAATCTGTGTTGTGCTCTGACCACATAGTCTCCCCCGCTCTGCACAATAACAAAGGGAGGGGGTAGCCCAAGGAGGCAAGGAAAGGCCAGACCCTTGGGTTGCTAGCTTTCCAGGAATCCTCCAAAGATTGGGGATTCCATTTCCAAATACAGAGATTTGGCTAGAGGAGTCTCAGTGTCTCTCTAAAAAGGCAGTGACAATTCAGTGAGTGGTGGCAGTGAATTTAAGGAGATACGCCCACGGGACAAGGGTTGGAGGCAAACAGCTGAGTTGTAAACTGGAGCCCGTTTCGCTTGGTTCAGACAAAGGAAGGAAACCCTTCACAGGCCTTTGTGAGGAACTCATTGGGGCCAGTCCTGACTAGGGCTGCCAGCTCCAGGTAGGGAGATTCCTGGAGATTTCATGGTAGAACCTATGGAAGCCAGAGTTTGGGGAAGGGAGAGGCCTCAGCTGAGCAGAATGCCATAAAGCCCACCTTCCAAAGTAGTTATTTTCTCCGGGGGGGGGAGAGATTGTAAGGAGTTCAGTTGTGATACCTGGTGATCTTCAGGCTCCACCTGGAGGTTGGCCACCCTAGGCATAGCCATCAGTGCTTCAGAGCAGGGTCTCTGAGATCCAGGTTCTTGCTGTAGAAGCTGAGTGGGTGATTTTGGACCAGTCACAGACTTTCAGCCTAACCTACCTCACAGGGTTGTTGTGCAAGTCAAAAGGGGGAGAGGGGGATGATGCTACCTGCTTTAGTCCCCATTGCAGAGAAAGACTAATTTTCCTCCTGAAAAACCATTGTTGCCAATCTCCAGGTGAGGGCTGGAGATCACTCAGAATTACAACTGCTCTCCAGATAGCAGAGATCAGTTTCCCTGGAGAAAATGGTGAACTCTGTGTCCTTATACCCTGCTGAGATGGCCCCCCATGGCAGATAATGGCAGGTTGATCATTGGCTGGGAAGGAGATAGGGTTGCCAACTCCAGGTTAGGACATTCTTGGAGATTTGAGGGGTGGAGCCTGGAGAGGGTGAGGTTTGAGGAGGGGTGGGACCTCAGACAGGTACAATGCCATAGACTCCACCCTCCAAACCAGCCATTCCTTTCTGGGGAACCATTGTTGCCAATCTCCAGGTGAGGGGGTGGAGATCACTCAGAATTACAACTGATCTCCAGGAGGGAGGGCAGAGGTCAGCTGCAATCAGAGGGGCAGATAACGCTACATTGATGGTTAGTTGGGAAGCAGGATTTTTGCTCACAAGACTCCACAGCTTAGAGGGAGCAATAGAGGGTGCCCAACTGTAGAAATGACCCTGTGTGCTGCATTTTCTGGCCCACATTGTGTGACCTTGGACACCAGGTATTGTGTAACATAAGGTATGTGAGACTTTACTTCTACATTTGTGCCTTTCTATTACATACTCCTAATACATACTTAAGGAGCTGCGGTGGCTCAAGTGGTTAAGACGCTGAACTGCAGGCTGTGGAAGGTCAGTAGTTCAGCAGTTCGATACCCGAGTGTACCGCATGATGGAGTGAGCTCCCGTCTCTAGTTCCAGCTCCTGCCAACCTAGCAGTTCGAAAGCAAGAAATTGCAAGTAGATAAATAGGTACCACTTCAGTGGGAAGGTAACAGCGTTCCGTGCACCTTGGTGTTTAGTCATGCCAGCCACATGACCACGGAAGCGTCTTCAGACAGCGCTGGCTCTTCGGCTTTGAAACGGAGATGAGCACCGCAACCCTAGAGTCGGATTCGACTGGCTTTTGAGCAAGGGAACCTTTACCTTTACCTTAATACGTACTTAACCTGCTTTCAGCCTATGCATTCGTTACACAACACATCTTTCTAGAGCTCATTGTTTTGCTTTCACAATGGGCTTTACTGCTAGGTAAATATATT